AGTTGTGTTCGTTTCAATAAATAAATCAGTCAGATAACAAAAAAAAATACATTGCATCAAGAAGCCAATAAGGATTAGATAAAGACAAATAATCTCAACGTTATCAAAAAGTATTTGCACTAAAATTGATCTGTATGGGGCCGTTTCTTCTGTTGAACGTCTTAAAGATTCAAAAATGAGACCAATTCCAGAACCTATTCCAAGTTCTGTACAGCACCTTATTTTAGAGAACCTTAAATTTTATATTTTATTTTTATCGCTGTAGTATTAAAACTGCGTTTTACCAAACTGATGACTGCCGTATACATATATTGATGTAAACCAACTGCACATTTCGGTCATTCTATGCGTGTAACTACACCAAGGTTTTCTCCGCACTCTAGAACCTTTTCTATGCTGAATTATGAAATTTTAGAAAATCCGTAGAGATTGATGTCTTTTGTATTTTGCATATTGTATCACCAATTCTGATTCGTTTGTCTCAGGTAATATTAGAATTCAAAGAAAAAAAAAGCCTAATAAAATCAACTGTTTTTTGAGCTAAAGAAATGAATACCTGTTAGAAAAAAATTAAATAAATTTTGACTTGAAAATATGCAAGCAGCTTGATAAAACAAAATCACAGATGATCGACTTTGTAAGAATCGAGACGTAGATGTCTAGCAATTACCAAACCTACCGTTGAGCTTAACTACGTCCTTTTTTCGCTTTAGTCATGTCAAAATTTAAGTAAGACATACACGCGACAAGTTGCAAACTTTTTTCATAATTATACTTTCTTATGACTAATTTATCCTGTGATGATCATGAACACTGAATGTAATAGAACAAAAATAATTTTTTGTAATGACTAAACTAAGCGTAGATTTATTGAGAAAAAAATGTCTATTTTTTTTGTCTATTTTTTATGGCCATAAACCATTTTTCCATTGATGGATGTTCAGAGAGATCGATAGTCAGGTTTCTGCCAATTTTTTGCCATAATTTTGCATATTGATCAAAATGCCGATGAATAGTATCAAAATTTCCTTCGCCAACCTTATATTCTACCATCGGCACACAGCATGTGTTACGTTCCTTCGATTCAGTATCATCCATATATTGAATTGTATATTTCCCATATGGTAGTGGATAACCAAGTGCACGTCCAATATCGACCGTATTGATAGATGAAGAAGTAGTCGTAAAAATTTGTTTCACAAGTGAATATCGTTTGTGTCTCTAAACACATCAAATATAAGAAAAGATCTTCGGAAAAAAAATTGTCATGCTTACTTTATTCACGAACATCCAACCACCTTTGTAAAGTTCTGTCAGTGGTGGTTTCAATTTCCATAATTCGAATCCTTCTTTTTCTAATTGAAATTCATCAAACATTGGTTTTAGTGCTTTTTCAACAAGACCTGTAGCATACTCAGGCATTTCGTAATGTGCTAATAGAGTACACGGTTTGAGACCAAATAATGTAGCAAAAATTTCGCCATCTAAAGCATAGACAATAATTAATGTTTGTCTGTGATTCACTCAACTCTTTACCGAAAAGTTTTAAGCGTATTCTCACAAACAAAGTACATACAACAAGCAATTAAGAAGTTTTTCAATCACTAAAAGTGCTATTCACTGGAAAAAGTATTTTGTCTGATAAAAATGCGTATTTTTACATT